CCCCAAAACCCCAAAACCCCAAAACCCCATGAGCATTAAAGTATGTTGAATAACTTTTCCCATAAATCTGTTAAACATGAGATTTAGCGAAAGATCTTGTATTATAAATGACATTTTAGGACATACTTACAATACTGAAACCTTATGCATTATTATGAGCACATCCATATCGGTAAACAATCAAGGCTTTAACAGCTTTGAGCAAGATAATTCAGTAGATTTGATAGAAAGGTTGGCCAAAAATTACTAATTTCAAAAGTTTGCCTACAAATGTGACCGATGAGAGTTATTATCAACAACTACAGAAAGAATTAAAGCAACCAGTTCTTTACAAAAAATAATTCTAAAGACCAAGAGGAAGAATAGCGACCATAGGCAGAGAGTTTGGAAGCCTATATAAAAGTTTACCAGACTCTTAGTTATCTTTTATCAAGGATAAAGAGTAGCCACCTCTCAAATACTAAATTTGTATTACTCAAGGCTATTAGCGATGCTCATCAAGATCGAAGATATTTAATCTGCCATGCTTTTAAATTTGTCAGAATCTGACTTTGACAAGACTAGGAACGACCAAGAAATTGATGCTTATCATGTAAAGTAAGGTTTTACATACAAATTGTTAAAGATAAGATCACTAAAGCTTTATTAAAAATTATGATACCTCAAAAACCTCAGTTGATTGTAAACTATATCGACAAAAAACTGAATTATTCAACATCGCAGCGCAATATTTGAAGAACAGTATTTCAGGAACTCTTAAGATTACTGTTCATTACTCCTACCCCAAAGGAAGGTGATAATTATAAATTCTAATTCTTAGAAATTGTGCTGGAAAAGAACGCTATATTCACCAAAGATGATATCAGTCCGAGGAAATAATAGCCTTGTGTTAAATATTGACTAGCGCAGTTTTAATAAAAGCCTTTAAAGCATCCATTCTTAACTGCCTCCCAATAAGTCAGGATACATACTCAACCAAAATAGATTTGGAAGAGCTAGTTTAATCCTTTGAGTCTCCTTGACTGGAAAACGGGCAAGAGTGATGCAAATGGATACAATAAATACGACACTTTTAAAGGATTTAGCTGTTTCTACTATTTTGGAGAAAAAAGGGGTTTTGGGGTTTTGGGGTTTTGGGGTTTTGGGG